CAGGAAACTTCTCAGAATCAGGGAGCAGTTTACCTATGTCGCCAGAGAATGTATTTGGACTCTTTGAGACACCATCTATGTGTCCGAAAAGAGCACGCAATGGAAGTTCGTTGAAATGTAGAAGACTAACAACCCACTGTAATGGCCTACCTATTATTTCTTCTAGTTTCCGAATAATTCCACTTTTCCAACCTGTGTTCGTGTTGGTGCCATCAGCACCGACAACTTCTAGATGTTCCACATCAACTGAATTGTGTTGTAAATGTTGCCATATTAGCTTGCGTCTCATCCTCAGCTGACCCGGAAGGAGAGGTGACGTGGCCAAAGTAATGACAACCAGGTTCCACAATAAAAGAAATATGTTCCTCTTTGACAGTGTCGCGATAGTACTTTTCACCTTCGCTGACTTGTGTAAGTGTATTGTCTTTGCGGCCGTCAAAATACAGCCCATATACAGAGTCAATACTTTCGGTGTTTTGAAGCTTAACTCCAACACTTTTTTTGTCCGACTAATCTTGCATTTGTCAGTGACAAAGCTAGCCTGATCCTCTGTTATCAAACCTGCTTTTTTGGCATCCAGAAAAGCAGACGAAACAATCAAGGCCGCTGCTCTATCCCTTATCCAAATCTTTGGGCAGCTAAAGCTGTGTGTTCTAATACTAGTGTGTTTTGTTTGGTTTTAGAGGATGGAAGATAAAATTCATCATCAGCATCGTTTTTGGAAGAATCCATGTGCGACGCACCTACATTGTTGTCCTCTGTATGAGAGTCTGGCTGATCTGAATGGTCACGTGTTCTAGCTGATACTTTTCTGGTAAGTGTTGATGTTGAATGACGTTTTGAAAGCTTTTCTTTACGTTCATTTTTCTTTGTAATCTTTTTTGTTTCAGGTTGATCAACACTTCCAAAGCGATCAATTCTTCTGGTTCTCTGGTCCAAGAGAAATGGCTGTTCATTGACAGGAACTTTCCTTTCCTTTGGACAAGTGCAAGAAGAAAAATAAATGCATTTACAAGCAGCCATGTCAAATAATTTTCTGGTAGAAGAGACAAAGTCGTCTCTTTTAGAGCTCAAACCTATTGGGTCCCTTAAAAACATTTGTTTAAGAGTCAGAAATTTCTTATGGTATGTGGTGAGCATTTGTACAACTCTGGTGTGTGAAACTATCGGAATAGATGCATTTTTGAAAGTATTTTCAACCTTTTTTGCAACTATTTCTGTAACCTCTTTACTCCTATTTTCATAGTTGTCGCCTCGGAGTCGCCCTATACGAAATCTTTCAAACTGATAACACAAAAGAACATCCTGGTAAGTAGGTAAATGGGACTCTGAGAGATGTTACTGATATATGCCAAACACAGGACATTTTTGTCTAAATTTAAATTTAGATACAGACATTTTGAGTTCTGTGTTCTGTTGAGAGAATATAAGTGATAGCACTCGGTGAAATCAACGTTAGGAAGTCTGGCCGCAAGCCGATTTTCACCTTGCGCTGTGGCGCGCCGCATTTTCTCTCGTATCTCGGGAACGGTTCGCCCTACGGCCATGATCACATACCATTTCGGTAGCAAATGACGTGACAAATAGCTTTTGTTTTATACATTTTGCCATGAGATGCGTATTGCAGGCGCTAGGTAGACAATTTCACGATTGTAGGCGAATTTTCGAAATTTCAAGGCCGGAGTTGGGGTTGAAGATGCAATCCGATCTCAAAACAAAAAGTTGCATTGGAATCAGGAAGTACTAAGGCAACTTTTCTGCACTATTAGAAATCCCGAATCGAAAAAAGTCCGGAATCGACCCACCCTAGTGATGGTATCAGTGATGTTTCCTTCCACAATTACAGTGATTATGAAAATAGTTTATACCTATGGGACCGGACTAGGTGCTACCCTAGTAAAACGTAACTGACACTTTTAAATTTCGGTCAGTGGTACAACAATTCCTCTATACCACATGCAAGATACACATGGGGTAAAGCTAGACGAATCTGAGGCGAAGCCAATACGATGCCCGCTAGGAACGATCAAATAAGAGTTTTATAAGTATTTTGAAGAAATTACCAGTAGCGCAAAACCAAGCTACAAGATAAGAAAGCAGATATGACCCAAAAATGACAGTGATATAACCAAGCACCTATTATTAAATCCAGAAATAGCATATATAAACTTACAACTACAATAACAGGCACTGGGCTTTTGGAGAGTCTGTGCTTAAACTGGGCGTGCCTTATAACAATATCTGCCGCAGCTGCAAACAAGAAGGGAATACGGAAACGGTTTTCAACTTTCAATGTGAATATCCAGCTAGTGCACAAACCCGAAAAAATATACTTGAAAACCATCAAGCACGAAACCTTGAATGGTTTTTCAAGAAAAGCATAACGGATACACAGTCATAACTTGTTTGCTGGTCTTTCACTTTCTTTATTTCTTAGATCAAAATCATTATATCTGAACCGTTGAAAACATCCTTTGTATGATGCTTCTGGTAGGGCATGATCAAAGTATGCCTCGGTATACATTCCATGCGACTCTGCAGCAATTTCTTTCAATGGAAACAAAAAATTAATGCTTTCCGCATATCATCACTTTTTGGTGAAATATTTGCCATTTTTAACACAATAAAAAATATAATTTTGTTTGTTCAATGACTGTAAGATTACTAAATTTGTGACAGATGTCATCTCTACCAAACAAAAAAAATTTGGCTCGTTCGTAAAAATTATTCCCAACCGGTACACCCATGTGTATATCTATAGTATGTAGTTGAATTGGGATAAGAGTATTCTATAAACAAATGAGCTCTGGGTAACCAGAGCGGAGTACTATTTGAACCTCAACGCGTTTTGTAAAAAACTTCAAAGAATTGCTAACGAAAATGGTATGCTTCTCCAATTATTTTAATGAATAAACTACCAAAGTTTCATAAGTGGAAAAAAAGCACAAGTAAATTGTTACTACCCAATACTGTTTAGCAAAACGTGGGAAATATTGATCAGCTTTCTAATAGAGTAAAGATAAGAAATATACATTTTTTAGTTAAATTACCTGAGGTTCTTGTTTCCATTCGTTATCTGTCGTATCCTCCGAATCATCAAACTGACTTTTCCACTGAGATGCCAAAGTGAGAGCTCCGCCACCTTTAGTTACTTGTTGCAACGCCGACACGTTTTCGTCATCTATTAAAGCGTACTGAGTCATGGAATGATCTCCAGCTACGCCGGGTCCATTACTACTGCGTGTTAATCCAATATTACCGAAACGGTGTACTGATCCACTAGAATTAAACGCTGGCCGCAAACTGGAAGCTGCTGATGAACGACATTTTGTGGCTGACCCAAAATAAACATTTTGTTGTATTCCTCCGGTTGGTCCTATTTGAGAAGTTCGTTGACTGCTAATGTTATTTTGAAGTACAACTGCTTTTGAAGGACCCAGAGCGACATCAAAAGAAAATGGGGTTGCATCATGAGCATGAGAAGACGCACTTTCATTTAATATGAGACATCCGCTGCTCACTGCTGGATCATACACACTCGATGTTCCTAGAAAGTATTATTATTATTAATGCCAAAAATTTCAATAACCAAACTTAGTTTTCTAAAAACAAGGAAAAACGTTAATTTCGATTGCAGCGAAACTATAATATTTGCAAAATTTGCTCATTAGGGTAGGGATCAGAGCCATACCCCGTGACATAAATATTTCGTCAAATTCTTGTTTTTGTTAAAGTTATTGAAAGTTGAAATTTATTAAATAATTTGGAGAAATTTTGTGAAGTCAAAGAAAAATGTTCGTGCTACTTTATAAATATTTTTTCATGATCCATTTGTTTAATTAATAACATTTAACATACTTTCTTGTTAAACAATTGAAATTTTTCATGTCTTCTGCACGCTAAAAATAGCTGAAAAGTATGTGACACAGCGCGGAAAATATTCACCTTCAATAATCTGCAAAAATATTGAGTTTTTTGTTCACCTACCGCTCTTAAAGCGTATGGCATACATTATGCGCTCGTAAGCTCCCGACATTTGTGAAGCAAGATAGCATAAGCGCATTGCGCAACGATAGATGGCCGTAAGTTTTTAGAGCGGTACGGGGTCAAAAAATTCATTATCTTTGGAAGCTTACGGTGACGATGCTGTATCAGTTCGTGTAGCCCAGCAATGGCTCGCTCGCTTCCGTCCTGGAAATTTCGATGTGAAAGAATTACACTGATGGAATGATGCCTTTAGCGGAAGAATGGCAAAAAGTGGTCGACCAAAGTGGTACGTATTTGTTTATTTATTTATTATTATAAATATAAAAAAATAAGTTGAAGTTTGATTAGAAATATGAAAAGACTTCTTCGACTACACAATATTTTGAACATCATAACTGTACAACTTCAAAACTTGGGAAAGAAAATGCTTAAAATACGTGTTGCAAAACTATAATACCTCTACTACTTTGGTTCTTTCTGCAGAATTTCATGAAATTTTTTTAGCTTGAGTGACTTTATATTAAAAGTCTTAAATAATAATGTATTTAAACTACATCCCAAAAAGCGTTACGTTAAGTAATCATTTTTTATTTAAATACAATTGCCAAATTGTTGCCCCTCGATATATTGTATATGTTGCCTGTTATTAACATTTTTCTGATAGGTCGCCAGAGAATACCTATGTTTTTCATCGTATTTTAATCAACAAAATTCAAAATAAAACTTTGCCCGTCGTTCGAACGCTCGGCCCCACCCAAACATAGATAGAAAGAGATATTTTTTTACTATTTTATTTATGCTAGTAAATAAAAAAGATATTGTTAATTGCTGTTTAGCTCTAAACGATATTTTATGCAAACTAAATGAGAGTACAGCCAGAGTGAGCCTACTGAATTTAGCCGAACAAATTTTGAAGAAACTATATTAAAAACATTTTTAAATAATAGTCATTATTAAAAAAATATCAACTCTTTATGATATTCTTATAATTTATTAGAAACAAAAGGGCTTATCATAAATCATATTGTAACAAATAAACAACCAAAATTTGTAGAAAACGAAGCTAAATATAATAGAAATGAAGGACCATATACTCTTTACCTCAAAACAACAATTTTAATACTAATCATCAGGAATATTCCAATCATAACAACGATCACGAAATAAGTTTTCATACACTTTCCAAAATTGAGATTACAATTGAGCGATTAAATGCTTCAGTTGATACTGGATCTACAAAGTGAAATTGTTGCAATATGAAAGAAAACTTTTACATTGCCCAATTTTATTTCTTCCCTTAAATCAATAATATATAAAAAAAAAAAATTATTATTATTAACAATACATATAGTGCATTAAAATGTCTTCCTAATTTTCCAACCAATAGACAGGAAACTTACCAATAAGAGTCCACTAGCCTAGGAAAAAATGTAAGGGACAATCTGTTTAGTGAATTAAAGGTCGAAAAATACACTGCACTTAAAACCGTTCTTAACGATTTCCGAGATTTAATATGTATGGAGAGTGAAATATTAGGCAATACCTATTATAAATATAGAGCACGAAATCAAACGCGTTTCTGAAAAACCAGTTCACTGTAAAATTTACAGAAACCTCATTAATGGGAAGTAAATCTATAGACAGTTATAAAAAACTACGTCAAGGCATTTTAAGGGAAAGTGTGCCAAGACAAATTCCGTATCCCTAATATAGAAGGTTTATTAAACAAACTTGGTCGAGCTCAATATTTCTCCACGATTTGATGAAAATCTTGAAAACGACGAAGACATCAGTGCGCAGCCATCTATATCGAAACAGGCTCGAATTCATGTTGAAATTCAAACAGCGACATGGCATCGTAACAAGAATTATAAGTTAAGGAATCAACGTAGAATTTATATGAAAAGATTGGTAAGTATTCTCAAATGACAATTCCTTAATGCAGTTTATAGTACATGTATATGCGATTTTGAGGAATCACTATCTCCACTCCAGCTTTGAGAATGCTTCATAGATGATGAGGTGCTTCAGGTAATTGTATGCAAGACAAAAAAATATTCTTCACGAAACAATGTGTACGATTTTTATACTCTCGCAACAAAGTTGCTAAAGAGAGTATTATAGTTTTGTTCACATAACGGTTGTTTGTAAGTCCTAAAACTAAAAGAGTTAGATTAGGGTTATATATACCAAAGTGATCAGGGTTACGAGTAGAGTTGAAATCCGGATGTCTCTCTGTCCGTCCGTGCAAGCTGTAACTTAAGTAAAAATTGATATATCATGATGAAACTTGGTACATGTATTTCTTGGCTTCATAAGAAGGTTAAGTTATCGGCCCACTGCCACGCCCACAAAATGGCGAAAACTGAAAACCTATAAAGTGTCATAACTAAGCCATAAATAAAGATATTAAAGTGRAATTTGGCACAAAGGATCGCATTAGGGAGTGGCATATTTGGACGTAATTTTTTTGGAAAAGTGGGCGTGGCCCCCTACTAAGTTTTTTGTACATTTCTCGGAAACTATTATATATTCATATACCGTTCAAAAACGTAAGAAATCGGATAATAACCACGCCCACCTCCCATACAAAGGTTATGTTGAAAATCACTAAAAGTGCGTTAAGCGACTAACAAAAAACGTCAGAAACACTAAATTTTACGGAAGAAATGGCAGAAGGAAACTGCACGCAGGCTTTTTTCGCCCACTTATGGACCAAAAACCATATCTACCGCCACCACAACCACTAGACCGATTTCAATGAAATTCGGTACATAATATTTTCTTAACACCCTGATGACATGTACGAAATGTGGGTTAAATCGGTTCACAACCACGCCTTCTTCCAATATAACGCTATTTTGAATTCCATCTGATGCCTTCTATGTGTAATATATGCATTAAGAACCAATGATGATAGCGGAATAAAACTTTACACAAATACGGTATTTGATGCGAGAGTATAAAATGTTCGGTGACACCTGAACTTAGCCCTTCCTTACTTGTTCTAAATCAATTCAAGAGATGTGAACTTTTATTGACATATTTTATATGACTGGTTATCACACGCTGCCGAATTTACACACATATTGGTCAAACCGTGTGTCTTTGAGATGCGAGCATATAAAGCAATCCATTGGCTAGGAGATTTAAACGTCTAGAAAAAAATATACACGTTTGCGACAACGACACGATAGACAATAATGCTAAATAAATTAAATCAAAGTATCACCATCAAATAAGTTGGTAAAAAGGAAGTTTATGCCGTTTGGCGTACTTTCGCACAATGTAGCGATCGACGTACAAATGATTCCGTAATATGGACGCCACTCTTGCAAGATGTTTGTGAAAAGTAAGCTCATCCGATTTGGGTTTGGCAGGAGTACTGTTACCAATTTATTGCATATGCGCATCGTATAACTACGATAAAAATAATCGTCTTCGGGAAAATGTTGTTCTAGAATTGAAGCGGGACAAATCCGATTTTGTATTCGGCAAAACGAATAATACAGGGACTGTCCGGAAAGTAATAAGACTTCGTCGATTTAAAAAAATTTTATTGAACCAATCGCTACAATTCTTTAAAAACTTTCAAATTCCTTCTGCGTCGATGCAGCGCCGCCAGTGCGATTTCCAAGCATTGGAGGCGTCATGGAGAGCATTCTTTGGAATAGCCTTGAAAGCTGAGGTCATACTCCGTGGATCCCCTCTCTAGTCTCAAAATGTTTACCTTTCATCGTCTTTTTCAGACAAGAAAACAAAACAGTCCGCGGGCCACATCTGGGCTGTAGGGATGCCGGCCTTGGTTAAAGGGACCCTACACGACACACATATACGTGCAATCTGTATGAAATCCTTTCGCCATACACGACATACAAATTAATTTTTCGATTTTTCTCAAACAACGAGTATTTGCGATAAGAAAGAAATGAGATTTTCTGTGGACACGGCGCCATACATACAATTGTGCACACCGATCGTAAAAAATCAACAATTTTCGCGAACATGGATTGATATGCGCACAAGCCCATACACGAGTAAAACGCAATCGCACACATACCGATCGAACGCACATGTGTGTCGTATATGGCCACTTTTAGGTAGGTGTTCACGAAGAAAATGAAAAGGTTCAATATGTCTGCGATGAAGTAACAAATCCGATTGACACTTCGTTCAAGTCTTTTGGGGACTTCAATGTTAATTTGATAAACTTTACATCTAAGCAATTAAACGAATACTTAGTCGACGGTCTGAGTTCAAAATTTTGCGCATATGAGTCACATTGTCGGTGCCTGTCGAAGCTCCAGGTCTCCCAGCACGGTCTTCATCAGCGACCTCCCCGGCCTTCCAAAGACTTCTTGCTGAAGCAACATCTGGCTAAGCCTGTTTGATCATATCAAACGTCTCTGTTGAACATTAACCGAATTTCACACAGAATTTAATTGCGTACCTCTGCTCCAACAAACTCTGCATTTCTCTGGTGCTCAGAAACAACTCACCAGCCGATCGTTCGCAAAAAGGAAACGCCCTCTACAAAATTCAGTCGATGTGCGCATGTTC